AGATGCATTTCATTGCCTCTTACTATTTTTTTCCAATAACACCTCCTTGCTTCTTTAGAATGTTAATAGGAAAAAGAACAGTTTAGTCAGTTTACCCCCTTAATTTTCAGCATATCTATTCCCTTAAACATGCAAATGGCGGCAATACAGAAATCATGACACCATATATAACTGGCAATTTTCAATTTGTATAGAAGTATGCTATTCTCGGTTGAAGAACTTTTTTTCACAATAGCATTGAAATATTTTTATGATATTTATGTTCCCAAATAAAAACATATACTGTTCCTTAACTGCGAATTCACAAGTCCTAACTCACAATTGAACATAACTATTGAGTGGGATAGAAAATAAAGTGAACACAGAAACCATAAAAAGCACCACCAAGCGCAACATGATATCAAAATGCAATTCTTATGTCTCATGTTATGTTTTTCTCTAGACAAGTTAGTCACTACAACACTTGTACACCTCTGCCAGGTCTTGCAGCTAGCGACTAAACTAGGTGATCATCGGTCGAACAACTGCATTCTCACTTCAAGAGCTGACAGAGTCTATGCAAGCATGGAGTTACAAACCCCCTTTCCCATCTTATCACTCAAGCCCTCGCATGAAAGAACTAACGACTTTCTCGCCCGATACAAAACTGTGGTGCACGGCATCTGCAATGATTTATGCCACAGATCTTAAAATGAAATCACTAGCTTCAATGACAGACCGAGACAATTCCATTAACAGCGAACCAAACAGCTTTAGATTAGATTAATGCACCTTCACAATCAAGTTACCACCTACAGAGAGTGAGTGATCATCACCTTCACGATCGAGAAGTCTTCATCGAATCGACGAACCCGCTTCTGAGAAGCCTCTCCACATACTTCCCCAATATGTCCACCTCCAAATTCACCTTCTGCCCAACTCTCTTCATGGGAATGACCATCTTCTGCTGCGTATACGCCACCAGCATGAAATTGAAGCAATCCTCCCCATCGAACACGCCCACCACCATCAAGCTCGTCCCGTTGACGGCAATGAACCACTAGGGCACCACGTACCCCAGCAGCTCCTTCCCCGCCCTCACCTTCACCCACAGCGAGTCGGCCTCTGGCTCCATCGACACGATCTCCCCGGTCCCGTCCACGTGGCCCTGCACACAGTGCCTGCCCATCCGGCTCGTTGGCTGCACCGCCCGCTCCAGGTTCACCATCGACCCAGCCCCGAGCTCGACCAGGGACGTCTTCCGCAGTGTCTCGGGGGACGCAATCGAACGGAGGCCCAGAAGTTGCCAAGGCTGAGAGAGATGGTGCGGCCGTAGGTAGACGTCGCTAGGGTTCCCCAAACTGACGCGAGCATAGACCTTGTGCTCGATCGCCGCGTCGGAAACAGCCAGGAATTTGGTGCGTGAGAAAGAGAGAGAGAGAGGACTCAGCCAAGGAATCGTAAATCGTAGCCGCCCGATGGGGCTCCGGAGGCGACAACGGAGGCGGAGGCGCAGGCGGAGGGGGAGGGGCTCGGGATCCAGCAGCCGCGACGGGCCAGACGCAGATCTGAACTCGGAGCGACGGCCAGGCTCTTGGGAGAGGCGAAGGCGGAGGCGGTGGAGAAAGAGAGAGAGAGAGAGCGTCTTCTCCCCCACGAGAGCAGGTAAAGAAGGCCTCCAAAATTGAAAAGAGGAGAGAGAAAGTGTTTTAAGCGGGATTTCAACTTTTCGCCCGTCCCTCCAATTTTTCTTTTTTTTTTCCACGTCAAGTGACGCGTGTCACTTTCTTAATGGAACAGATACGCCACGTAGGATAACTACGTGGCAGTATGTTACTACTGAATATTTTCTCTGATCAATGTTTGCCGGAAATAAGGAAAAATTATTCAAAAACATAAATTTATTATAATTTTCTCAATTCAATCCTAAAAATTTTAATTTTATCAATTGAATCCTAAATCTTTTAACATTTTGCCAATTGAGTACATCCGGAATTTACGACGTGGACGTCGGCCATCCCATGTAGCACAACTGATGCTAATATGGACAATTTTTAATAAAATTTTCAAATTTTCAAAATTTTTTCATTAATTTATTAATTTTTTTCTTTTTTTACATTCTATATCTTTTTATTTACCAATGGCCACTAGCAAGAGTCGTCGGCGCCTCGCCGGTCGCGAGTGAGGTCGTGCACAAGACTTGTTCTTAAAAGGGATAGTGATACATATAGTTCCTGAACTTTGACCCAATGTGCAATTTAGTCCCTGAACTTTTAATTTGTTCAAAATGGTCATTGAACTTTTGTTATATGTTCAACGTAATCTCTGAATTTGAATTAATGGAAGGATTACATTAAACATTTTCATATAATTCATGGATTAAATTGAATATGTATCAACGGTTCATGAATAATATTGAACAAATTAAAAGTTTAGAGACTAGTGTGTAAATTGGGCAGAAATTCAGAATCTGTTGTGTCATTTTCCCTTCTTAAATAGAAATGAATATCCACGTGGCAATAACTCAAGGGTTTACAGGCTTCGGCTATGAAATTCCGCTTATAGCCCTACGCGCGTCCCCCTCAAGACCTCCTTCCTTTTCCCGCCAAAAACCCCCCCATTTACCGTGCTGCGTCTTCCTCACTCAGCCCCCCAGCGCGCGCTCTCTCTCTTCTCCCTCCGTGTCGCGTCGAGCACCGCCGCATACCGCCGCCGTGGAACCGCCGATGGACGCGGACATGGACATGCCTCTCCCGGACGAGCTCGAGTGGCTCGAAGCTCACTCTCGCCTCCACGAAGATGACCCGCTGGACCTCCACCCGCCCGATCCCTACCCTTACCCTCCCGAAGGCGACGAGGAAGACGAAGGAGAAGTGCTCAATTTCCGGCGCAATCGAACCTCCTCGCCGCCTCCTAGATCTCCGCAATCCGTCGACGAGCAGCTCGAAAACCGCAAACGCCCTTCCCGAGAGGAAGCCGCTGGTCCGATCGAGAAGAAGCGGAGCAAAGTTGCTGCTGACGACCACGAGGACAGCGAAGAGGAGGATTGGCTGCGTTACTCGCCTCCGCCGGAGACTCATCGGGCAGAGCTTCGGGAGGAAGAGATTCTGGAGCCGGAGGAGGTTGCCATTTCGCGGTACGCGTCTCAGATCGACGGCGAGTGTGTCCCGGTGACGGCACCCGGAGGGGACAGGGTTTATGCGAAGATCTGTAGGTTCGACATCGATTCATGGCCTAAGAGATTGGATTTGAGGGCTCGATCTGATGGTAATTTCCTTTTGCCCTCTTGCCTTACCTGTTTGTAATCATTTTTAGTGTTATTGTGGTTTTTGGGTGGGTCAGGAACACTATGTAGGAGGAAGAGCTTATGTTAGTATCCAATTTCAAGCTAGTCAAGGCAATCGATTTTTGTGTTAAGAGATTACACGAACAAGTTGGTAATAGAAAAACAGGAGGTATAATGCTAGATACAATCAAGAAACATAAAGTGATTCAATAAATAGATTGAAGTGAGGTTGAGATTGTGAGGGATGTAGCTCGCCTTAATCTGTCTTGGTTTTGGAATTAAGGTAATTTAGTTATTTGGAAAAGAAGAAATCAGTGGTGGCAAAATATGCAACATTACCAGAAATGTAAGAGCCTCCATGTGTGTATTGATTCATGGATTTTGGCTCCGTTTGTTTCACGGAAAATGAATGATTTGGAAAATATTTTCCTAAAAAATGATAGCTTGTATCGCTTAATCAATGAAAAATGTTTCACATTATGTATAAACATTTTCAGGTACGATGATAATATTTTTGTTAATTTATTTTTGAAAGCGATACACAAGATTATTTAAAGGATAATGCTTTTCAAATTATTCATTTTCCACGAAACAACCTCACCCTTTGTGTAAGATTAAACTGATGATGCCAATGAGTATGCTTTGGGGGAACTACATGCTCACTATGCACTTTAACATAACTATATGTCCACCCCTGGACTTCATAAACCTACACTTTACCCTTGGCTGTACTCACTCGTGGGCCATGTCAATCTAAAGGACTGACTTGCAAATATTATGTGATGTGGAGTTGGGTACTCAGTGTAACTAAACATAAGATAGGGACAATCCTCAGTGGAGAATGTCTATAGACAGTGGTGCCTCATAACCAACTCAGGTATTGATCAGGTCTATTTTTGGCTGGTGGTTCCATGAATCATGTTGGATTTGTTTTGGATGGTTAATTTGATCATAGACAGAAGCTCCAGTTCAGTATGCTGGCTTGTGCCAGAAATGGGCTTGGAGGATGGTTGATCTGATTACTTGGAGTTGAAGTCTCTGCGATGTCGTTCTCTCATGTGAAGGCATGGGAGCTGATAAGTTGCGAGATGACTGATCATGTCTGTCTAATAGGGTTGCAATGATGTAACAACAACGAATGGAAAATTTAATTCGATTAAGTTTGGACCCAAGAATCTTGTCTCCACTCCTCTCAAGATTACTGTCAGGCTTAAGAATTGGGATTGAGAAAAATCCCAAGGCTGTTAAGCATCATTGTGGATTAGTTTTTATAACACTCATAATATGTGCTCTAACAGGCAAATTTTTGTCTATATGATGAAAGCTTTTATGTTCAGCTTGAGGCATGTTGTGTACTAGGAAATCTTAATTATAGAGGGCCTATGGTTATAAATTCCACAATCTTTTTCTTTCTATATGAGTTATCAAAGTTTATTTTTGATGATGTTAGCACCGAATCATGTTGCAGGCCTAATCACTGAATCTGTCAATGTTCTGCTACAAAGATGCGAAAAGGAGGCATTCACCAAGGTATCCATGTCACACATAAACTTACGCAAGTAGAAGTGTTGGGGCAAGGTTAAGAATTTGAAAAATGCTATCCAGGTTTGCTGGTAGTGCAAGTGCTTAAATGCAGCTTAACAGAAAGCATGCCATCTCGCAAATATGAACTTCTGAAAAACGTGGAAAATTGCAATAGTTAACCAGAAAGAGAAGAGAAAATCAACACCAGGAGTTAAATGGTTTGGCTAGTAATTACACTTTGAACAACGGAGATTACAAGCTTAAATCTATGGCTCTCAATTCCAGCCCTTGATTACGCAAAGCCTCTCCTTAAAATTCACACAATCTCTCAGTGCTTTGACCAAAAAGTCAGATAAAGAACCCTAAAATACTCTTTGATGGTTTATATGTGAATACAACAATTAACTTGGAAAAGGCTTAAAAGCATGGAATAGGGACAGTTTGCGTAGCCACTGGGTGCTCGGTTGGGCATGTAAAGGTGCCTATCAAATTCAAAGAATGGACTATTTTTTCAGGGCTAGTGGCCGAGGGCTTGGCCAGTCCATAAAAATGGTTGGCCGTTCCAGGCCTCTGGCCAGTAGTCTGGGCCTTGTGGCCCATTCACCTGACCCCAATTCCCCCGTTACACAAACATCTATTTTCGACCTCTGGTTGTTTTTGGGCTTTTTGATCCAGGTTGCTTCTTGACCAAAACGGCTCTAGACTGAGACATAAAGCAATAAGAATAATAAAGAAAAACATGCTATTTAAAACTCTTTGTGCTTCGATTCTCAGCCCGCTAATATGAAGAATTAATTTTTCAAGATTGTTGCATGTAGGATTGGTAAATTTCATATATGGTCACTCAAAAATTGGAGCAGTTAGATCATAAAATTTTTCAAATTAACCAACGCGGTATGCTCTCATATCTTGCAACTGATGCATTATCGACATTGTGCAACTTTCTTTCAATGAAAATGCTTTGTGACCACGGGGTGCTGATGTGGTTTGTAATCCAGCCCCTACCAAAAAGTTCCAAAAATGTTCTAAAAAATCAAAAGAGATTGAACAAAGTAGAACAGAAGAAAGAAGGGGAAGAGGGCTGGCAAAGGTCCCTCACCTCCAGAGGAAGGTTGCTGACCTCTAGAAGCAATGTCAGAACTTCTGTAGGAAATTGGTCTAAAACCTGTCAGAGTGCATCTAACAACAAACAAGCAAAATTTTAGTACATTGGTGATTGAAATCAAGCTTAATGACTTGTTTGTGAAATATATTAAAGTTCAATGATGCCATATGAAATTTACCCTGTATTATCAGATTTTTCGACCTTTATTGCCCTAGTTGGTCAATTGTGTGAACAATATTGGTCTCACAGAACCATCCTGTTTTATGTGAGATTTATTGTATGGGGGTTGTAGATTTATGTTCTGTAATGTTATAGACTGACCTGAACACCTCAGCACGCATAAATCCCAAAGATTTTGTTCATGTGATGGATTCTTTTAGAAAGTTAAAAGGGAGATATCTCTTATTGCACGAAGTAACTTTATGTTGGGAACAGTTTAGTATTTGGTGCAAGATGAACTGCAAGGTGAGGTGATAAACTTCAGTTGAAGTTGGTGCAGCTGACTAAAAACCTCACTAAAAGGTGAAACCCAGACAAAAAACGTCATCTTCAGTCTGTCTACTTGTCTATCCGATTCCTTGAAGAACCTATTTAACGGATCATGCGGAGTAGATTGATACAATTGTTAAGGTCCTACTAGGCTGTTTTGGGTAGCCATGCTATTCTAAAGTGAATTCAGTTCAGTATTTCAATGTAATCAGCTCAGTAATAACTGCATCACATCAAATATCGAAATATCTTTTATCCTGATGTATTTTATTTGTTATATCTCGCAACAGTTTGCATCTGGTATTTTTCTTTGCGAGATGTATCAGCTTCATTTCCTGTCTAAGATATTATGGACCTTAGTTAATATAATTATTAATATAAAAGGGTGTTACATTCATTACCAAATGTTGGTCATGGATATTAGGTTTTTGTTTGGTAAAACAAGCCTTCTGCATGCAAGCTTTCTCATTGCAATGATCATGTTTTTGAAGGCTCTATGTGTGAGTTTGGAGGAAATGAAAGATCAAGTGCTTCCAGGAACACCAATAATACCGGAGAAACTTTGGGTGGATAAATATGCCCCAAATTCTTTTAGCGAGCTTCTTAGTGATGAACAGACAAATCGTGAGGCAAGACTTTATTCCGAGTATTACATCTTTTTTCGAAAGCTCCTGTTTTCTGTCTTGGCTAAGCCTTACCAATGCTTCTGTTTATTGAACGTTTCAATAGTTTCCCAACGCTGATGTCTTAACAAGTGTTTTGTTGCATTTTCAGGTACTTTTATGGCTAAAACAGTGGGATTCATGTGTTTTTGGGTCTGAAATTAGGAGCACTACAGATGAGGTTCTGTTGGCACTTAGACGTCATTTTGCTCATAGTCAGCATAGAAAATATAGTAGTCTAAATACACTCAAGAGTAGTAGATGGCAAAGTTGGACTAATGAGAGCTTTAAAGATCCTCATAAATCAGGCCACACAGATGCCGATCTGAAAGGAACTCTGGATACATGCAGCAAAAGCTCAAGGCTTACTGGCCCACCGGAGCAGAAGGTCAGCACTTTTTGAAAGAATCTGTTAAGTGTACTAAAGTAAGGGTTGTTGATGAAGTGCTGACTCAATGTGTTGTGTAGTTTTCAGTACGTATGGACAAGCATCTCACAACTGATATCTGGATCCCATATATTGCCTAATAGACGGGCATGCATGTAAAGATCTATTTAGCAATGTTGTTCATCCAGTTCACATTGTATTAATAGCTAGAATTGGGTGGCTCTGAAGCAATATGCTGTTGGATGGATGTAAATCTCAAAAACCTAATTATTATCTGGATTCTATTGACAAATCCCTGGGAGAAAGTACTGCTATAATGGAAGAGAATCTGGAGTAATTGTAACATTATTGCATTACTTGCAGCAATCTCTTCGTTCTATGTGTTTCATTTGCATTATTGAATCTTCTGCTTCTTCTTGTTGTTGTTTTTTTTAAGGGAGGGGGGGGGGTGGATGTGAGTTGGAAGGGGCTAAAATTATTGTTCATCGATGCTCAAAAGCAAGATGTTCATGCCCTGCTACAGAACCAACTGTACAGATCTTGTTCTTTTCGACATATGTTTAACATAAACAGTTAGATTATTGTTTGCTTCTAACTTTTAACATTGTCTCTCTATTCTTCAGAAGGTTGCAAATGTTTTACTATCTCCATGCGCATCTTATAGATTGGTCTGTATGTTGTCAATACTTTGGACGTTTGTTTCCAATTGTGCAGGTCCTTCTACTCTGTGGTCCTCCAGGACTTGGAAAAACTACACTTGCTCATGTAGCTGCCAAACATTGTGGGTATCGAGTAGTGGAGGTATTACCTGATTCTCTTTGGCAAGATTTAATATTCATTTATAGATATACTAGCCTTTTAATTACTGTGTGAGTTTCGGGTGACTTTAAAATTGCAAATGAGTGCATCAGAAAGTGCCTCATGACAGATATTTCCTTGCAAGACAAAGCAGATATACATTTCCGCTTGGTTTTGGCTGATTTTTGATTATGATAGGTTTGATACTTTGCTTTGTGTTATTATTAGACCTTCCTTAGGTGTTCTCATTTATGTGCTGGTTTTCCTAATAACATCAAAAACTGAAAAGGCATCAATGAGTTGTAAATGTTGATGATGACGGATTGGGAAACAACCTTTGAGGAACTATAAAAGACATGCTTAACCGGTATCTGAGTCCTACCGATCAGATTGCCCTACATTATAACAATTACAGAATGAATCGTCTACTAAACTGAGACAGGGACTCTATACCAGACTTTCAGGGAGGTTGGTTGCTTAACTGAAAAAAAGAGAGAAAAAATAGGAGTGCATTTTATATCAAATTCTTTGTCATATCCCTTCTCTGTATGACAAAAGGTCATAAGTCTGATTGTGTGGTTATTTTAGACTCTAGCCTTGAGCTTCTGTGTTTGTCCTGGTAATAGATTACTTTCCACTCTCACCCCATCCCCTCAATCATGTTTGGGGTCATTCTCATGTGCATCTTTTCTCATTTAGGCCTCATCATGTGTTTTTTCTCTTGCTATTTGTGTTCCAGCTATAATTTTGAAAGACTGTCTGTGTAGATCAATGCTAGTGATGATCGGTCATCGGCAACAGTTGAAGCCAAAATCCTTGATGTGGTTCAGATGGACTCTGTCATGGCTGACTCAAAGCCCAAGTGTTTGGTCCGTGTTCTTTAAAAATGTCTTGCTTGGGATTTTTGTACTATTGGAGATGATGAATGTGATGTTGATTGTGCAGATAATTGATGAAATTGATGGTGCTCTTGGGGATGGGAAGGGGGCGGTGGAGGCTATACTAAAGTTGGTAAGGCATTTCCGGAATATCTTAATATGACATTAGAGTTCATTGCTGATTATGATTATATTTACCAAGGCCATTTTAAAATTTAAACATTACATCATATATTTTATTCATGAGTTAACAATAAAGCAGTGAGTATGTGATAGTCAAAGGGTATGCTATTTTTTGGGTCGAAATTAAGGTAATAATCAATAAACTATCTTGCTACCATAGCTATGATGAGATTATTCTTCCTTCTGTAATGAAGGGTTGTGACACTAAATAGAACTAATTGGTGTGTCTCAGGATTTTACTTTTTTCTTAACCTACACTCGTCATTTTACTTTAAAAATTCTACTATTTCTCTTTAATTTAACTTGTGTTTTGAATAGAAAAGAAATCCAATTCAAATGCACACCAATTATGAAATTCTTTGCATCTCTCATTTCTCTTGTTAAGATAACAAAAAAGGCAAGGAAGAATTACAATAACACAGAAGTCAAACTAACCGACATGAGCTCAATGTTCCATTCAAGCCTTGAATTCCAGTGGATGAGACGACTATTTATCTTAGAAAGTGCAGAACTTTTTATGTGATGCTATGGCATAGATGTGCGGCTAATTATCATAAAAAAATGTTTATCCCAAGTCAACCACAACACAAAACAATCCAAGATATTGTCTTACATCCATGGGCGACATTGAAGCGGATAAACTCAAGATAAGTTATCCCAATTTCTCCAGACAGATTTCCATAATTAGGTGCCTCGCGCCTTCAACTCCCTTGGTATGCCAACCTTACTCCCCTTAGCTGTATCTAGAGAAAAGAAAAAAAAAAAAAACAGTTCTTTCCCAAAAAGGGCTTTGATCAAACGGTGTTAATTTTCTTACTTCCAAACCTTATTCATCAAAACATTTGCATATATGACCCTAATGGAAAGCAAACGTTATGAGTCTTTGTAATCCAATACCTCCCCAAGAAGAACTGATTCTGGAGTTTCCCATTAGAGAGAGATGACATGATTGTATGAAAGAGTTGGAATTTTGCTAATCCGTAACTGATAGGTTTTGGGTCTCATTTTTTGGTTCTAGTTCCAAGAACAAGCATATCTGGGAGCCTGTTTTTGTTAAGTGATTGTCTGGTTGGAAAAGTTTTTCCCTCTCCAAAGCAGGGAGATTTGGTCTTATTGAAAGCACTATTCCCGATCTTCCTATTTATTTCATTCTCTATTTCCCATCCCTTGCTTGGTGGCTAAAAGGTTGGATGCCATTCAAAATGAATCTTCGTTGGGTGATATTGAGGAGGCTCACAAGTTCGATTAGGTGAATCGGAAAGCAGTCAAACGACCTTTTTGAAATGGCAGTTTAGCCATTAAGTCCCTCTTGTTAATCAACAAGGCTTTTCTCCGAAAATGGCTTTGGTGGTTCAGTGTTGCAAATGAACATCTTTGGAGAAAAGTAGTAGCTGCAAAATTTGGCCTTGAAAAGGCAGGTTGGATCACTGAGGATAGGGGAGCTTCACACGGATCAATGTACAAAGGAAGACAGAGAAGGTTGAAGCGAGTTTCTTCTTATGGAAATAGGACACAGTTTTGTTCTGACGTTGGGTGTGGGGACACAACTTTGAAAGATTGGTTTTTTGATATCTTTGATATCACCAGGAACAAGAAGGCTTTGGTAGTGGATTCTTATTGTTTAAATGATGCCATGGTCATTATTGATTTCTTGAGGCAAGCCCAAGACTGGGTGTTCGAAGTTTGTGCTTTTTTTTTTTTATATGTTTTGTGTAATTAGAAGATTTCTACTGCTTCTGAGGATGCTTTGGTGGAGAATGGTGAAAGAGACGGAATCTTTTCTATAAAATCTTACTACAAGCTGCTAGATAGGGAGGGTTTTCATGGTAGATTGGATTTTCCTTGAAAAGCAATTTGGAAAGTGAAAATCCCAACAAGAGTTTCTTTTTTTTTTGCTTGGGAAGATAACCTTCAACAAATAGGCAAAGTATAGGTTAATTGGTGTTTCATCTGCAAAAAGGAGGCAGAGACCGTTCGGCATCTCCTCCTTCATTGTTCTTGGATGAGAAGGGTTGCGACAGCTGCCTCTGCTTGCATTGGGTTATCTTGGGATATTGGAGGTTCTATTGAGCAAAAACTTTGGGCTTGGCAGGGCATTCAATTACAGCACAACAAGAAAAGACGTGCTACCTCAACTCCTCTTTCTATGTTTTGGTTGATTGGGGAGGAGCAGAAGAAGAGAGCTTTTGACTTCAAGGAATCTCCCATCTCTATTTTGGCTTAATATTTCACACTTCTGGTATAGTGGAAACTTGCTTAGGATGTAAATGCCTTGGTTAGTATAGTTGATGATTCATCTTGTTATTGAACTCCTTTTTGGTTTTGAGAGCGGCTTTATATATGGCTTTAGTGATTTGAACTTTGGTAAGAGCATGTATGCAATCCTAATATCAGAAGTAACTTACAAACTGAGGATTTTATTCCCAAAATCAAGTCCACATGATTAAAAGCTTGAGGATTTATGATTCCTCTTATATGTGTGATTCCTTTTCTTATGTCTTAATTAAAGAGAGTATAGGGCTCCCTATGTTTAATTAGATTCTCGTGGTAACTCTTCTTTATTTTGTTCTAAACTAGGTTTTTATCAGATCAAGTATTTTATTTTGCCTGAACTTATAATTTCCTCATTCATTGCATAACATATTAAGGTCTCTGCTGGAAGGAAATTTGAGGAAGGAAAGCAAAATGCTGCAATAGAAGAACAATCTAGAAAGATCTCAAAGAAGAGGCAGAAGACTCCGTCACTATTGAGACCTGTTAGTTCAGTGCTCAGACATATTTCTTGTAAATTACTTTTATTAAATTTCATAGTGAATGATCCGCATATTACAGGTAATATGCATATGTAATGACCTTTATGCTCCTGCCTTGAGACAATTACGTCAGATTGCAAAGTAAGTCTCTTCTGCTTTTTATTAAATTGTTTTCCACGTATTTTAGATGACATTGTAGTGGCTTGCATTCTCTAGGAACCACATTAGTCCAGTGCGTTTACTTATAAAAGAAAAGAAAATAATTATCATTGGTTTCCATTTCTCAAAGTTTGAACTTAGTAGCTTGCATTAGTAGCCGTAAATATTATGAACACTATCATTATGTGGGCCCAAATTTTCCTTTGAATGTCAAATGAACATGTGATGCAATGCAAGTTCAATGATGTAGTATGTTATATACTTGACGAGGAACTTTTGTCATGATTTCAACCTATTTTATCTCACGTTTTGTGATGCTAAAGTTTGTGAAGAAGAAAATGGTCATCGGCATTCTTTATTGTGATTAGGTTTGAATTAGCTTCCACCTTGGTATCCTTAAAGTGGTCCACCTTGTGTTTATGTCCATCTTATAGATCAAAGACATTTAGCTTCTGAACTCTTTGTTACATTGAGCATATACAGCCTTACTGCCGACCTATACAGAATGCCGAACTTGGCAACACTTTTGCCATTGCATCCATCATGCTTTTATGTCAATTGTAACATCTCCATCAATACATTATCATTTGCCAAAATGAAGCAAAGGTATCTAATTTGCTTTTTGATGCTATTTCTTGATCCTCGGTTTGTGCTGGAGCTTTGTTGCTACCCTCTTCCTCCCGGATTTACAGTCCAGTTTCCTCTTCATGCTGTATAGATGAAACTTTCATCTTCCAGTACGTCCCATGCTTTGAGCTTTGGAGTTACTCCCTCAATTCTATCAAAACCATGTCGTTTGCAGAAAACATAAACTAAGGGACACCAATTCAAGAGTGCTCACTTAGTTCATTTGTTTTTCCTCTTGTAATTTTTAGTTTTTGCTTTTTTTATCTTTTCCTCCAAAAGCATGCCTTGGTTCTATAGGTGAACTGCCCCCCCCCTTGAAATCGAAAACAAAGATGCCCATTTTGCACTATCCCCTAGACTTGACTGAGTTCAACAAAGACAGTAAAACTTCAAACTGCTTTCAAAGCAGCAGCAGATATTCACATGTAGACTTAGCTGCAGTTCACTTGACAACTGACAATGGTATCTCATGCAAACTCCTACTAGATGCCATGAACTGTTGAGGAATATTATGTCTGTGGTGTTAGTAGCTACAGAGGCATATCTCGTAGATAATCACGTAGTGTATATTATTAACAAAGAATGGGTGCTCTTAGACTCCCTAACCATTGAGTCTCATTTTTTGTCTTGTTGTTTTATGTTTCACATGAACAAATTGTCCTTCCTGTCCATCTTGTATTTGGCTACCAACCTATCTCCAGGTATATGTTCACCATCTACTGGGGGCCTCTGTAGCTTATGTGATATGGTCAAATTGCATCCTTTCATATCAAAGCTAAGCCTAAACCCGCTTATAAGAGGAGGACTTTTCCCCTTGTCTTATTAGAATGTAATTACATCAATAGAAAGACTAAGCTAATCCTTGTGATAATGAGATTGGTTAATTCTGATCTAAAAGATGGGTGATTCTTCTTTGAGGTAATGTTGATTGACTTAGCAAGTGAGTTTCTGGCTGGTAGGCAACTGGGCATTCTGCCTTAGCATATGATAGTTTGCTAAACACAGAATCAACAGCCAGTAGATCGATATCCACATTATCCTTCAGAAGGAGATTTTTGTTTATGAGAAGCTGCATGAGGATAACACGGTTTAAGCATGCTTCCTTGACTTGTCAATAAAAATTTTAGTGTCTTGTGTGAGTTATAAGCAATCTATTTTATGGTTTCAACGTGTGTTTCTTTGGAAGTGTATCTCTTCAGGCTTTTGCATGATTGGTGTTGGATCATACATACTGCTTTTACTAAAATCAATATCATTTATTTTGTCTTGCTCAGAGTTTTGAAGTACTTGAACTTGAGTAAGTATTTGCTTCTTTGTGACACAGGGTTCATACATTTGTCCAACCGTCCATTAGCCGAATAGTGAGCAGGTGATGAATGGTTACTCTGAAATCTATTTTATGTCTGGTCGTTGTAAGTTCTGCACATATGAGGGGGCATAAGTTTTATACTGGTTTTTTTCCTTTGTACTTCCTTAATAACCATATGGCAACTTGGATAGTGATGTCCCACATGTAACAGGTTGTTTGAAACTTTCAATAAGAAATTGTCTTCTTTTTACTCATTGGCAGCCATTTGGACTCAATCGATCATAGATTACGTCAAAGATGCTTTGTGGGTTATGGGTCAAGTACCTGCAACCACTTGCTTATAGATCGAAGTGGTTATAACTGTTTATACACTATGGAGAAAATAAACTTAAATGATTATTATAGTGCACTATATATATATGATCATTTTGTATGTGTCAGCAATACTGATTTTGAAGCTTTAATAACTTTCTAGTGCTAGGATGGAACACATCTGATGGGTCTCCAACCTTGTAATGCACCAAAAAGCATGCGTTCTGTCCGAGACATTTGTCACTAGTTGGAGATATGTTTGTGGTATCATATGAGAGAGAATTGGTAGCGATTGCCAGAGGATTAGACATTCAAGCTGTAACACATTAGAAAAACCAGCTAACAAAGTATATGTGATTCATTCATGGATATTCCCCCTCAATTTGGGACTCCTGGTAACTGTGCTTTGGATCTCAGTATCTGTTGTTCAAACAATCTATACATAATGGTTTTGAATAAATAATAAATATGATAATAAAATTTTCTAAGAAGACCATCTAGCAAATAAAGGTAGCAGGTAGTATGCTTGGTAGCAATTTTACCCAAAGGATATTACCTAATGAGGAAAACATCGACCATGAAATCTTTTCGAGTCTGATTCATTATTTGGTGCTTACTGAATGTAAAGCTTTTTTTGTACTGTTTAGTGATTCAAGCACTTATCTGACACTTCAGTTATATCTTAATTGAATCCATGGTTTTTGTGCCCCCTCAACTTATTCATGTTAAACTTTGGTACTATAATACTCTATATTTTATCAAAAAAATGTCAAGCTCTTGCTCTTATTTAATTACAGACTTAAGTATATTTGTAACAAGGAGGGAATGAAAACAAGCGCAAATTCACTTACTGCCCTTGCAGAGTACACTGGTGAGTTGATGGTCGAAATGTATCAGATGCTCCAGCAATGCATCATATGCATTTGTCAGGACAGTCTGATTGTCTGCTTGGTCTTTTCATGTGTAATTATTTCCTTCAAATGCTTGACTCCGTGTCTTTAATTTCAGAATGTGACATCCGATCTTGTTTAAATACTCTTCAGTTTCTCAACAAGAAGAAGGAGAGTCTCAATGTGGTAAGACTCTTATCTGCAAAAATTTCTTGTTTACTATACTAATGATTAGCTTTTAACTTATATAATTTAGCATTAGTCCCTTATATCTACAATGCTAGATAGAGGATGGCTTTCAAACCATTTTTCGTTGGGTTAATGTTCTTTGTAGTTTAATGTGCCAGAGCTCGGGTCGCGTACTATGCTTCTGGTAAATAGGAGAAGCATAACTCTAAATCTCATTTGTTTGATTAGCTCAATAAAAGCAGTGGGTAGATTGAGCAAATTGGCAACTTCTTTGAAGTTGGTTCCAATTGCTTTTTTTTATTTTGGTCGGAGGTTCCAATTGCTTTAAATTCTGCTAAAATTGAATTTTTTGGATCTACCAGTTGAAGTCAAGCTATTTTTATTAATGTAGCCAGACAAATCTGATTTTTCCATTGACATAGAGAATTGGTAGATTTTAACTACGTTAACACATGAATTGCTATGTAAAAGTCATGACTGTGAGAAGTAAGTATTGGATAACCAACGTGACCTTGTAGCTGTACATTGATGGATCCTTCCTGCTAATCTGTAGCGGGAAAGTGTCTGCAATCCCTTTACATGTGGGTTCTGGGGAAGTGAACTTCCCTTCTCTTGGAAGACCAAATAGCCATTCCCTACATACTTACAGGATGATCTAGTGAGAGTTGAGTAGATTTACTGGAAATTGCATGCTAAGAATTGTTGGTTTCTATTTTCTCCATATCATTGCCAGTGGCAATTGGCTATGTTGAGTTTCGCCAATACTCATATATCTTTGCTGTCTTTCAGGTGGACATAAGTTCTCAAGTGGTTGGTCGAAAGGACGTCTCAAGAAGTATCTTTGATATATGGAAAGAGGTCCAATGAAGTTGTTGATATCTGTAAAATTTATCTGATTATCTCTAGTTTCTCGCTTACAGCTAGTAATCGAGGACTCTCTCTTGCAGATTTTCCAGAAGAGAAAAATCAAAAGGGACAGAAAGTCTAGTATTGCCAGCAGTCTGTCCAGCGAATTCGACGCTTTGCACTCTCTGATTTCTAGTCGGTAGGTGGGGATTTCCAAGAATGGCACTTTCCAGTCCTTGTCTTCAGTGGATGACCTTATTGGATTTATATGGTTAATGCAGCGGTGACTATGATCTAGTCTTGGAAGGGATTCATGAAAATTTTTTGCAGCTTCATTATCATGATCCTGTAATGTGGAAAACTGTAAGGCCAACGACTTTCTGGTTACTGATGATTAGTGCAGATGACTATATTGAACTATGACATTATTGCATAAATTACTATGACCTGTGATCTGATTATATTGTGTTAACCAAAAGGTTGTGTGCCTCGATAGCATTGGTGTTTCTGACCTGATTCACCAATATATCCTTCGCTCGCAGCAGATGCATCTTCAAGGTAAGATGCATTACCTGTCAATGTCAACTTTTCCATGTTGAATGTGTCTGATATTCGAGAAGCTCATTTAAATGTGTTTTTTTATCAAGTTTATCAGCCTTCTATTGCAATAGCTGTACATCGCCATGTAGCTCAAGTTCAGAAAGCAAATATTGAGTGGCCAAAGTCTTACCAAAGGTGCATGACATTAAAGTTGATGCAAAATGCTTGTACTTTGTTATTTCTTGACCTGTCTTATTCTCTTCATGTATGAACTTCAGATGTCGAACAATGTTAATCGAGAGGGCAGACGCTTTACGGGACTGGTGTCATAGGATTCCTCCTCATCTATCGAGGCATTTATCAATTAAGTCCGTTATTGAAGACTCAGTTTCTCCGTTGTTGCATATCCTCTCTCCACCAAATTTGAGGCCGGTAATTTGCTTCTACTCAATTTATACAATTGCCTTTTTGATATGCTCTTTTTTTTATGTGAAAAAAATGTTATTTATAAAATTGCTTCGCAAAGTGATGTGCCAAGGTTTTGTTGAGTGTTTGAATATGTTCCACTTGTTAAATACTCATTTCCAATTTGCCAATCTACTTGGCAAAGTGATTTCTCAGAGTTTGTCTATTGTAAATTTGTGAAACATGGAGGAACAGTAGTATTCCACTCTACCAACTTTTCTTATCATTTGATATTCAATTGTCTATGAGGATGACCTTGGTGATAATATGAAAGCAAACTTTTTTCTTAATCGGAACTCTAAAATTTTTGCATGTGTTGACTTGTATGTTATTCTAGTATCATGTGTTGCATGCTTTGGTTGAATTTTTTGGAGATAAACTTTCTTGGTAGCAAACCTTGTTGGACTCTTGGAAGAACTTGTGTAGGCTTCTGTGCCATATGTTGAAGCTTTGGATAATATCTTTTAATGTCTTGATTTTGTCAGTCAGATCTTATTTTAATTGTATTAACTGAAGGTAAGAGAAAAGATGAGGAAACTTGGTTTCTTAAACTTCTTGGTCTACCAATATATAAGCTTTGAAGGATATATTGCCTTTTGCCTCCCTAAACTACATTTATCAGATGTAAAAGGTCACCGAAACATGTACTTGGGCCAAGGTTTTTAAGTTGGTTCAGTGTATAGAATTCAGATCAGAGTATAGGACTACTTGAGCATTAGAGTGTCCTATTATTTAATTAAATTGATACATAAAGGTAAATGGTCATATTCATATGTAAGAAAATGCAGAACCATTGAATTGCTTAATCTAAAGTTGTTTCCATATCTGAAATTATAAAGTACTTTCCCTTTATTCAGTGGAATACAAATTGAGTGAATTGCTTAATCTAAAGATTTTTTTATTTATGGGACGCAGAGTGCTTTATCTTTGTAAAATGGAAGCGCTCATAGATTACTTTTATTTGAACACATACAACTATAGGTGTAATTGAGCATCACAATGACAACCGCTCAAGCCTTATTCTACTAATTTTGGTCAGCTTTATGCATCATATCAAACTACTTAGGCTCTGTAAACACAGAGTAACTCAACCACCTTTCATGAGATAGGCCCTCTTTCAACTACTCTGATTTATTTCTAATGTTTTGAGACTGCCATTCCACTCTCACACTTTTAAAAGGATCGCCCTAAGGGAGAGCAAGAAATTTCAGAGGGCTTTCAACTTTAGAACTAAGTCATCCATGAGAATTTTAAAACTTTCAACAATGGCCCACTGGCATGACTTCACTTATCAATCCTAAGGCCATAAACATCTTCAAAGCAAAGAACAACACATTTAAGATTCAGTAAATGATCAACATTGGCTCCGTGTAAAATGGGAGATTATGTGGGACCACTACCAACTTTTTTAAAAGCTTAAGCTGTTAGATGAAGGCGTAATTTAATATTTAATTATTCTAACACTCCCCCTCACGTTTAGTCTGGTCTTTTTGCCTAGTACCAAGCGTGGACATAATTAATTGGGGAGGCAAATAGGGCCTTGAAATATTCAAACTTAGGACCTCCAGCTTTAATACCATGTGAGATTATGTGGGACCACTACTATCTCTTCCAAAAGCTTAAACTGTTAGATGAATGCGTGGTTTAATATTTAATTATTCTAACGTAAAACAATAGAGTCATTAGCAAGGCAAGTAGAGGCGTATTACATTAAAGACCAACATCAAAACCTGAATTAAAACCACCATCCACGCAAGAATTATTTGTACGTTGGCGTACTTTATGCTTGAGATTTGGTGATATCACATCGACTATTTTTGTATACTGTTGATTGTAATTGTTAAACCGAGAAATGTAATAACTTAGGTAAGAATTCATTAAATTTCTTTATCAAGGTAATTGTATATAGTTTCGCAAGATCGGCTTCATTTTTAGGTCCTTTGAGAGTTTCACGAGGATGTCGCTTACGATTTCATACATTCCTGCTGAAATTAGTATGGCTTCATTTTAAACGTAGCTACGAGATCAGTGTGCTCTTTATTCTAGATCCAAATGATTTCTCAATAATTGTTTGAAAGTTCTAATTTGGGCAAGAGCACAATTTTGCGACAACTTTTCCATACCAGCTTTTGGTCGTAGCAGAGCATATGGTATCCCTCATTCTGTTTGTAAATCCATGACTGTAATTCCATGTAACCTAACATGGGAATTGGACCATATGGGATTGAGGGGAAACAAAACTTAAAAAAAAAGAAAAAAGAATTAGAATGAAACGAGTGGCTTTTCCATATTTCCTTACATGCATGATACTAGTTTGCTGCCATTTTGTAGTTCTCACCTGAAATAATCCTTGGCCAAGCATCCCAAGGGATGTCAATTCTAAATACGAGAAGTGACCACGAACTTTACGCAAAACGAATTTAAAGAGAGAAACCCAATCTTAGCATGACATAACACGTTTAACTAAAAAATGACGTGAATTTACACATTTTCATCCATTTTGTATAGAAAACACTCTATAATCTATGTTGATACATTTTAGTGATGACACAAAATGACAAATAACCGACTCTAATATCATGACACATGAATTACCACCCCTCACAATTCCTACAACTGCTGGTACTTAAACAAGGTGACAGCTGACACTACATGCAAAGAACAACTTCAATGCAAGTACCAATTCATTGTTGCTTTGTTGCTATGGTCTTTAATAGGACTTTGGACTTCTCTCAGGTGGCAATCCACTTGTTGTCGGAGAAGGAGAAGATTGATCTGAATCAATTGGTTAGCACAATGGTGTCTTATTCTATGACATATAAGAACACAAATTCTGGTCCACTGGGTAACCTGAAAGAGGAAGCTATCTCGAATTCCTCTTCACTTGGTTTTGATCCGCCTATTCATGATTATGTCAACTTCAAGGTAAGGATTGTAAATTACATGTCCTAATTCGCATGCTATGTAATTGTTAATTATATAGTTCTCAAAGTGCTCTTGTCTGTGCTAAACAGGACTACAAGTCTAGTCATCACATACTTTCAGCAGCAATGAAGCAGGTGTTAGTCCATGAGGTAGGTTGATAAAGTCCTTTAGCTTAGTGCTTTTGTTTTGTGTGCTAATTTCTCTCAAACTGATTGGGTCTGGAAAATCAAGTTGAGCGGTTCGCTTTACTTGGACATAATGTTCTATCAACAAACAACCTTGTAGGTGGCTCCATTTTCTTCTTCCCAACTGATTCCAGCCTAAAAGAACAGAAGCATTTAAATATAGGCATCTTTTTTAAAACAAATATTGTCTTTAAAGAGAAAGGATTTTGAGCATTTTGTGAATTGAACGTCTTCCGTCTGTCTTTGTTGAAAGAGGAGAAAGATATGACTATCCAGCTAGAGGTTGTATTGGCATAAAGATTTGAAGTAACTTTTGGTGCATAAATACCTTCTGTAATCTTCTCATGCCAATCTGTCTGTCTAGCTTTATCATCACAACAATCAGCCAGAGAATGAAATTGAGACATACTTGAACTTTTAACTCCTGGTAGATATGTTGTTAAGAAAGGACAGCAAGTTTTTCTGTCTCGTCAATGTGCTTTAAAATATGTACCGAGAGGTATGATCTGCTGCATGTAGTAAAAAGTGTCTTAGAAGCGCAATCTCATTGCTCAAGATGATGTTCTCCCAGTGGTAAACTGGAGCAGGAAAACTTGTTAGCTTCAACTAAAGAAACTTTTATGAGATTGGCTTGATCATGAGCTGAGTGCAAATCGTACAAAAAAATTGTTGTTCAAAGTCGAGGGACATTAAAGTTTAATCTCTCTGTTAATGCATCTGGTTTTATCTTGGCCCACACTAATCTAATGGCAATAAAGATCTATCCTATCTTTTACTGAAAAGGAAGTTTTGATTTATATGTTGATGCTAATTAATTTGACACAAATTACTGCCAATACTGTTGAAGCTTATGTTCCTATCATGTTGCTTCAGCTGAGAAAGTGGCCATGTTAATTGGTTGGCCTTGCAGACTCTGTCTCTCTCTCTCTCTGTGGGCATGAGTGCCGCAGGCATGCCATGTGCTTGTGTGTTTGTCCCGCTTGTGTCTGGGTGCTTGCACACACAGTCCAAGCCGCAAGTGCGTGTATGATTTGAATGTTGTGGTTTAGGTTGTTACGGAGCTTTCCCTTTTTTATTGACATAATTTTCTGTCGCTCACATCCCTCAATCCAATAAATCTCAGGTCGAAAAACAAAAGATTTTGCATGGGAGCGCTGAGAAATCTGCATATCCAACTGACAGACGGAACAGAGAAACACAGTATATTGAAGGAGAGAAGACTGCTGGAGCAAGATACAATTCTCTCAATGTGGCCACTTGTGCTATGAAGGACATTGGGAGTGGAGCTAATAAATCTAGCTCTACTCAGTTTAATGCGAGTGCCTCCACTAATTCTTCATCCCTTGCTCATAACAGAGCTACCACCGTGGATGTGAAGCTAAAGCCTACTAATGCTTCTAAAAAGCTTTCTGCTGGCTCCAGCTTCTTTGACAGGTTAATTATTCAGTTTTTCTTTT